TCCATATAGATACGCAGTGATGACATCCATAAGTCGCATGTCAAGTCTTTCTGAAACCACTAAACTTATTAAGTAACGGAACGTAATTGCGTCCATTACAGGAGAGTATGTCTCCTCATAATCAATTCCAGGTCTTTGAGAAAAACCTTGTGCAACGAGTCGTGCTTTGTATCTTGCGATCTCGTTTTTCTCATTACGTTTCCTTGTGAATACCCATTTGTAACCCACGGGGTTTACGCTAGGCGGGGTTTGGACTACTGGTCCAAAAACATTCCGCTTTTCCAATGAATTTAATTCTGCCTGGATTGCATCTTTCCACTTAGGCCAATCCTGTCTCTGTTTGCATTCATCAACAGAGCGGGGCTCAATATCATCACTTAAGATGATTTCAGTGGCTACTGCAAATGCAAACATATCATCAATGATTATTTCATTCCGATCCCACAATTCATTTGTACATGCATAATTTATGGAGATTTCTTTGCTTTCATGTACTTCTGTCTCTTCAGGGACAGATGTCTCATCAAAGACATTTTCTTTTTCCAGAAGTCCAGAATTATGAATTGTGGATGTATCATTCATTTTCTCTTCCTGAATGATTTCATTTGGATTCAGTTGTGCCCTCGACTTTCTCTTTCGAGGAGCTGAATCTTTTGAACCTGGAGGTCTACCACGCTTCAGGCGTGCACCAGATGAATCATTTGCTGCCACTTTATTTTGTCCAACAGGGACATCAATTCTTGCAGGTGCATTTGCAGCTGGTATATTTGATTTTGTCACTTTCATAGCATCATTAAATGCATCTGGCATTTGATTGGCAATGCTTTGAAGATGAACGATCCTTCTCACTTCATTTTCACATTGAATGTTGCGAGGATCAAAATGAGACAAGGTGGGAACAACCCATGTCAGCTCTTTCCGTTCTTCTGGAACGGTCTTTTCTCCCCCTAACAACGGAAAAATTGTCTCATCAAAGTGACAATCAGCAAAACGAGCTGTAAACATATCACCTGTCAAGGGTTCCAAATATCTAATGATAGATGGTGAATCAAAACCCACGTAAATTCCCAGTCTACGCTGAGGTCCCATTTTAGTGCGTTGCGGCGGTGCAATAGGCACATAAACAGCACAACCAAAAACTCGTAAATGGGAAATGTTTGGCTGATGTCCAAACACGAGTTGTACTGAAGAGTATTGATGGTTGGCTATAGGTCTCAATCGAACCAATGATGCAGCATGTAGGATGGCATGTCCCCATGCAGAGACTGGCAATTTGGTTTTCATGAGCAGAGTGCGAGCTATTAACTGAAGCCGCTTAATCAATGCTTCTGCTAAACCATTTTGAGTATGGACATGAGGAACAGGGTGTTCAACATCAATGCCCAATGTCATGCAATAATCATCAAAGGTTTGAGACGTAAATTCACCAGCATTATCAAGTCGGATTGACTTAATAGGATAATCTGGGAACTGTGCTCGTAACTTAATTATTTGAGCAAGAAGTCTCGCAAAGGCTACATTCCGAGTAGACAAGAGACAAACATGTGACCATCGGGTAGATGCATCAACCAAAACCATAAAATATCGAAATGGTCCACATGATGGTTGAATAGGCCCACAAATATCCCCTTGAATTCTTTGCAGAAATGATGGGGATTCAGCATCAACCTTTAGTTGTGATGGTCTAATTACCAACTTCCCTTGAGAACAAGCTTTGCAAGGGTTATCATTTGAGGCAGCAATGTGTCTGCTCACTAATGGATGTCCATTAGAGTTGGTAATGATCCTACGCATCATGGTAGATCCTGGATGACCCAGACGGTCATGCCAAAGCATGTAAACCTTTGAATCAATGAACTTCTGGTTCATGACAGTGTGTGATTCAATTGTCCTTATGTATGTATAATATAATCCACTCGACATACCACGCAACTTCTCCAATATACGCTTCTGGGTATCATTGGAGGTAATGCATAGATACTCCACATTTTCTTCACTTTTTGTTTCAATGTGGTATCCATTTAGACGTATGTCTTTGAAACTCAACAAATTTCGAGTAGATCGAGTAGCATACAATGCATTATGTATGGACAATATTGTTCCATTTGGTAACATAATCTGGGCTTGCCCTGAACCTTGAATTACATCTGAAGGTCCTGATATTGTTGTTACCCCTACTCTTGTAGGTATTAAGCTTGAGAAATACTTTCGATCACGAAGTATTGTATGTGTGGTTGCACTGTCTGCAAGACAAATATCTCCACCATTTCTCATGTTCTGAGAATAACCACAGTTTTTATCCATGCTCTCTGAGTAAGAGAATCAGAATTAAAAGCAAGTTATAACAAGAAAATTTACATGCCACTTTTATTGAATCTGAGAATACTACAAGTTCAGCATAATAAAAGTACATTAATGATTCAATCGGACCGATATACTTCATTTCCCCTTTCTACAATATAGTCTGAAACATCTAGATGAGTTGTGTTCAACTGCCCTGATAAGTCAAACACTGGATCAGGTATATCCATTGGTCTAGCCTCGTCGAGAAAGTTAGTCTCGACACCCTTCTCCTTGAGGGATGCTTGATACAGATCCACTAGATGTTTTGGGGTACGACAAGTACGCGCCCAATGCCCATTGCCACCACACCTATGGCAGGCTCCTTCAGAGTTTCTAGGAGCATTGTTTATATGAGCTTTGCCTTTGTGGCGATTCACATTTTTGAAGCTCGGGCCTGAATTATTCCTGGGAACCTGGTTATGAAACTGAACTCCATGGTTCTTGCCTTTCCTATTCCATCGACCTCGCTTGTGACCACGTCCTCGTTTATGATTATCACCACCAGAGGATGTGGTGTTCACTCCGAGGGAAGCAGCATTCACTTCTGGGAATGGTGCAGATCCAGTAGGTCGGGAATGATGGTTTTTCATCAGGAGCTCATCATTCTGTTCAGCTACTAAGAGCACAGATATCAGCTGGTTGTACTCAGTGTAGCCTCGCGCTCTATACTGCTGCTGCAGGAGCACGTTGGAGGCATGAAATGTGCTGAGAGTCTTTTCCAGCATATGCTCCTCAGTAATAATATCCCCACAGAGCTTCATCTGAGAGGTAATTCTGAACAATGCAGAATTGTATTCTGCCACTGACTTGAAGTCTTGAATCCTTAGATGAGTCCACTCATAGCGGGCCCTTGGAAGAATCACCGTTGTCTGGTGATTGTATCTGCTTCTCAAGGCATTCCAGAGAGCTAACGGATCTTCAACCGTTAAGTACTCGCTCTTTAGCGCCTCATCAAGATGGCGGCGAATGAAAATCATGGCCTTTGCTCGATCTTGAGAGGATGAGTTGCTCTCTTCCCTGATGGTATCTCCAAGATTCCCTGCTTCCAGATGGATCTTGGTATCCAGTACCCAAGTCAGGTAATTCTTCCCGGTAATATCCAGGGCAGCAAATTCAAGCTTCGCCAAGTTCGCCATTTTCTTTTCTGAAAGAAAATGAGATGTGTAAGAACTTGCAATAATATGTATTCCTGGAGGAATATGATGTTAGAACTTCTGGTTCTTACAAATTTTTCATTTTGATCTTCAGGCCAAAATGATAAGCACTCGAAACTTCTGGCTCGAGATTTTCAGGGTGAATGAGGAGGGCGATTGTACCGCACCATTCTCATTGAAATAATGTAATATAGAATGGGCGATTATTCCGCACCACTCAAGTAACAGGAAATTTAAATATGCAGAGCAGCGTGGGCGATTATACCGCACCACATAAAAAAAATTGCAATGAAATTAAACAGCAGGTAAATTCAAATATGCAGGGTAGGGTGTGCGATTATACCGCTCCACCTAAAAATTGCAGTAAAATTAAATCTGCAGTTCAAGATAGGCGATGATACCGCACCGTCTTGGATCGCAGTAAGATAAAATTTGCAGTTCAAGATGGGCGATTGTACCGCACCATCTTGGATTGCAGTAGAATTAACACAAATAAATACTAGGTTAGTAATCAATCTCTACACCAAACAAGTAATCAAAGATGTATGTAACCGTTAGTTGGAGAACTATGAGCAGGCATGGAGCAAACAACTCGTCGCGAGGGTACACGGCGCAGTTGAGGCAGAGGAAGAAGATAAACAGTAAAAACCTTAAAGGAAACATTTTTTTTTTTCTTTCGTTCGTTCGGCGAAGAGAGATGAGAGAATAAATATATTTAGAGGCTCGTGCTGATAACGTGTTATAAAAGGGTTAAAGTTTGAGAGATAACCTTTTAAGTGGTAGGTGCAAGGTAGATGTAAAATGCCACACAAAAACTATAGCACAGACAGATAATAAAAGGCAGAGGAAAATATGATGTTATTGATATTTCTCTCTTGTATTTCTTCTTCATCTATCATCTGTTACATGCGAGTGCTCTATTTATAGAGCAACTCGAACTGATGCAGTTAATGCATCTTGAAATTTAAAACGCATCGTCTGACACTTTCATTCAGCATGGGCATTGAAAACTTTGCCCATGCAGAAGACTTCTGCTTTGTGGGCATTCATTGCCAACTGATATTGAGACTTTTCAACATTACCAACTGAAATGGAGACTTTTCAACAATATACTTATTTTTCTTATATCTTTTTTGTTCAGAGTAACGTTAGAGAACTATTTTAGACTGACGATGACAATTATCCAAACAAATTTTTTAGTGTGATTCAAGCAAACTAACAAAAAAAATGCAGTTAGAATTGGAAGAACATTTCATACAAATAGTACATGTATGCGCAAATATATTTGACTATACCGAATATGTATTGCGTTAGTGCTCTGTTTTCGTCCGACCCCTCTCTTTTCTCTACTCTCGTGTATGAACCGTTGTATAATTTAATAGATTCACGTGCGTTTGTCAACGTGGATTTGTCGGTCAATCCTACTCTTTTACTCAAACCAGAAAACAAATAAAAAGGAATAAAAGAGTATTTTAGAGAGAGAAACACGCCCTCCTCTCTCTCTCTCTCTCTCCCCCCGTGTTTACACAATAAAAACAGAAGATTTTGGACTGGAAGACTACCGCTAGTCTTTTAGACTTGTTCCCTTTGGCTTCTTTTTAAACCCCTCTCATCGCTTCCATTTCCACCAAATATTATTCAGCCACAACTAAAAATGGAGCTAGCTCTGAGCTTAGGGGATGCTTCAAAGCCGTTTCTCTTTCTCGACAAAGCTCCAAAGATGGGCGGCAACATGGATATAGGGTTTTGCATGGGCTTGGGGACTGCTGCTTTCAGTGCTGCACGATCGGATGAGAGTAGCAGAAAGAGTACCTATGAAGTTTATGATCAGGATGAGAGAAGAAGTAGGATTTCATCAGATCCACCTCTTCAGCTTAATCTCTTGCCTTCTGCTCCAGTTCCTCGTAGCCACGTTTCTTCTCAGCTTCGCTTCCCATGGCTTACTGATAATCGTAAGATCCGTTTCACCATGAGATTTTATTATTTTGTTATATGTTTTTTGGAAAATGATTTCTAAAACATTCTTTTTTCTCCCGTACACATCTGTCTATTTCTGTCTTTTGATTCTTGTTTGATTTACTCGATCTAAAGGCCACAAATAAATTTGCATGGAATGAAAATGGGATGTTCAAATAATTTTCCTATGTTGTTTCGTGTTTGGTTGCTGAGAAACTCAACAAACTCAAGGGAAAATTCTAAATTTTGTACTTTCTATTAAAATCCACTTGGTAGAATTTCGTTTTTTTGTTTTATTGGCTTGATTTCCTAAACACCCAAACTTAATTAGAAAGTGAAAAGAAAATCTTTAAGCTGTATTTTCCAATTAAAACCCACTTCGCCAAAATTTTAAATTTTGTTTTCGTCTGGTTAATTTTCTTAGAATCCGAGCACGACCCAACTTTTTACTTCATGTTGGATTATGTGATCATTTTCTTATATTGGGTTAACTTTGTTACAGTGGCTGTGTCTGAACCGGCCGGTTCATCAGATGGACCGGGAATAGGGTTGGATGTGAACCGGATGCCGGGAGTGTTGGCCTCGGCTGAGGAGGCCGAAGATGCGGCGGCTCCGCTGTCATCTCCGAACAGCACGGTTTCATCGTTTCAGATGGATTTTGGAATGAGAAATGGAGGAAGATCGAGCAAGAGAGATTTGGATGTTGACGCCGACAGAGCGAGTGATGACGAGGAGAACGGGTCAACTCGGAAGAAACTCAGGCTTTCTAAAGATCAATCGGCTTTTCTTGAAGAGAGCTTCAAAGAGCACAGCACTCTCAATCCTGTGAGTCAAGAAACATAACAAAAAAAAAAAAAAAAAAAAAAAAGGAATATTGAAGTACAAATTTCTTTTTTGTTAGAACTTTTAGAGTAAAAAAAAATCCCAAATTTTAATTTTTACTGATTGCTTGTTGGTCAAATTTTTAATATATGCAGAAGCAAAAACTTGCTCTGGCTAAACAGTTGAATCTTCGTCCACGGCAAGTGGAAGTGTGGTTTCAGAATCGAAGAGCAAGGTATGCTTGTTTTATTTATTTATTTTATTTTATTTTTTCTGTTATGTAATTACTTCATTGAGTAAACTTCTAGTTTGCGCCATGAACCATCACCCAATTTTCGATTTCCTCTGAACTTTTTAATTGGAAAATTAAGGATTTAAACTAATTTTTTTAACCAATTTGTCTCTGCTGTTAATTTTTTATTCATTCCATCCAAATTTCCGTTAAATGGAAGTATGTGCACAATATGTCTGGGTAGTTCGGTCGCTTCATTCTTTAAAATAATTGAAAAATTTAGATTTCTAAAATATAAACCTATGCAAATATGTGTGATTCTATAGCTTTTGTGTCTGAAGGTCTAGTCAAGTGATGTTTTTGTCCACAAATGAGAGTTACGTGGTTTGCACATGATAAAAGTTAACGTTAATTTGGATGAAATCTATGAAAAACTAACGGTAGGGGGAAATTGGCCAAAAAAATTAGTTTAAGTCCTTAATTTTTCAATTAAAATGTTTAGGAGGAAAATCAAAAGTTAGGTGATAGTTCAGGGGCAAATCGACAATTTACTCTTGCTTCATTTCATGTAACCACTTGTGATCAATCATGAAATTTTATTATAAACCAAAATTTATGTATCCGCTGATAAATCAAATTTCGCATAAGTACAGTGATTTTGGCACCCTCTTTCCGTTTTGCACATCCTTCTTTATTTTTTATTTCTGAATGAAAAAAAAACAAATGAAAATAAAGACGCTGAAATATACTAGGTGGAGATGTGCTGAAATTATTTCGCTTGGCATAAATTCAAATGTGATTCATGTTAAAAATATTTTGGTTTATTCTTTTGTTTTTCCATTGAAAAAAGTGGACGAACTCTTGACATTTTGATCCTATGTTTTAAATTAGTTGGCCTTCTTCAAATTACTGACTTTTATTTGGAAAAATGATGATTAATTTTGCAGGACAAAGTTGAAGCAGACAGAAGTAGATTGTGAGTACTTAAAGAGATGCTGTGAAACACTGACAGAAGAGAATAGGAGGTTACAGAAGGAACTGCAAGACTTGAGAGCTTTGAAGACTTCTCAGCCTTTCTACATGCAGCTGCCTGCCACCACACTCACCATGTGCCCCTCATGTGAACGCGTGGTCACCACCGCCTCAGCCAACACCTCCACCACCACCACCACCAACCACCACCACCACATAAAGTCTGCTCTGAACAACAACAAGCCAAGGTTAAATCCATTTACTGCTGCTCAAGTCCACATACAGCAGCATCAAGGTGCTGCTGCATGACATGCCAACATAGAATCTGATATCATGCACTCTCCATTCCATTTGTATATATTTTTGGCTTGGAGTTGGGTTTTAATTATTTTTTTCTTTTGTTCTCTTTATTATTTTAGTTGTGGTTGTCCCAATCTTTGTCTCCGTGGTTTCTTTCTTATAACTTTTAGAAGCCAGAGACTGAAAGGGTGATATGGTATATTTTGGTTATTGAAGAGGAAACTAGAAACGGTTTTGCTAGAAAAGCATTTTTTGTTGGTATTGGGTTATTTTATGGTGTTTTGACAGGGAATTCTATATATTTGTTATGATCGTTTTCCAATTAGAGAAATGCTAAGGTGATTCACACAAAAGTGAGATTCTATGGATTGTTTTATAATATTGGTACGAGAATTTATGTTATGTGAGAGCGGTTCCACCGGGGAACTGATAGGCCGGCACCTAGCAAAAAAAATGGCCTTGCACCTAGGCTTTGCACTCCAGCCCAGTGGATAGGCTGGCATCCAGTCCAAGCCAGGCAAGAGATCGACCCAGAAGCAACAAGCCCATGGGACAGCCTACATGACTCAGGCTGACGTTAGTCTTTTTTTTTTCTTTCTTGTTTTTGCGCCAGAGAGGGAGTTGTTGTGGAGGTTGAGGAGCGGAGCTGATCGAGGCAGGAGAGGGTATCAGGAGGGAAAGAGCCACATAGGGAGAAGGCAAATCGCCTGAAAGTGATGGCTCGAGTTCGTCGGAAAATCTGAAAAAAAATGCATCGACAGAATGTTTGCATCAACGCAAAGGTTTCCAACACGATTTATAAGTTAGAAACCATAAGAATAGGATTGAGAACTTACTCAGGTGAAATGCAAGATTTCACCAAGAATTGGACCTTGAACTCGTCGGAGTTTGTCCATTTTCCTTTGTCGAAATCACATGCGGGGAATTAAGCCCTTGAATTAACCACAAAAATTGCAGCACAACACGATTTAAAGCTCAAGAACACAATACAATGATAGAAACATCACCTGGGTTAGAGATTGAAAGCTCAAGCTCTCGACTTCAATGGTAGGACCTCGCACCATGCACCGATGCCGCATGCAAGGCCATGGTTGGGTTCCTTGAGCTCCAGGGATTACAAAAATAATATTTTGTGTTTGATTTGTTGAAGGTTTTGAAGAGGAAGGAGAAGGAGAGCTCACATGAGTGAGTTGGAAAAGAGAGAGAGAGGGAGAGAAAATAGATAGAGAGAGGGAAAGAGAGAGGGAAAGAAAAGAGAGAGAACCAGTCAAATGAGAGGGAAAAGGTTATTATTTTAAATGTCTAATTGTAGATGCATTTTATTTAATCATATTTTAATAAAATGGACTAGGCTATTTTTTGTTAGGGGTGGAGATGCATTTGGCCTATTACTATTTATTTGGGTCTATCACTGTTCACTGAGTGGATAAATGCGCTGGATGCTGACGCATTTGTGTTAGAGGTGGAACCAAAGAGTCCATAGAGAGTTGCTCTTTGAGAGGATCGTACATTTCTCTTTCATTTATATGTTACATTTATGGCTCCACGTTTTCCCATTGATCGCTTGCATGAGATCAATAAATAACCGAAGATTTCCTTTGCCAGACAGTTAACAAATATATGAAAGATCCTGCTTTGAGATATGATGACTGCACGTACAAATATTTTCATGTTTGTGGAAGATTTTGGCTTGGCATGTCCTTCGAGAAGATATCTTACTGGGGACAATAATCGGATGTAGTTTAGGCATTTCTATTTTCTTCTCACGCATTTTTTATGAAACGTTAAGAAATAATTAATCAAAAGAAAATCTATAAGGGAACACAAATGATCAATGAGTAGAAGAAAATGATGAATGTCAAAATTACGATCCAATTAGATTACAGTCCCCATGTAAAACAAAGAGGGAGGTTTTTCAAACTAAAGAGCAATAGTCTCGTGCAACTTTTCATCATCTTTTTGGAGCTCAGAACCTCTCCCCGAATTTTCACTGAGCAATAGTCTCGCTTTCCATCATCTCAGTGTAAGACCCAACCCAAATAATGTTAGCATGCTATCTAGATCACTATCAATACAGAAGTAAAGAGACTTACTTGGAGCAGTCATTATCTCAGCAAAAGGAAGTCTTCTACTCACTCGAGACTCAATGTTCTGATGGTGATAGAACCCTTAACTTAGAACCTTTTCTTTGTGAGGAGGGAGTCCTTTTATAAGTATAACCTTTGCCAATTTCCATCTATCGTGGAGTATTGGTTCTTTACAATTATTTGTAGTTTCGGATTGCAAGTTGTTTCCTGATCACAATCACCACATATTCCTTGATTATAGGAAGCAGTTTTACACGTTTACAACTCCCACCAGTTTGACAATTGGCAACTGCATTTCTTCCTTATATACAATTTAATTTTGTCCAATCAGGTTTCTTACATTCTCCCACTTGAACGTAAACTAATCATTGTATTGAAATAATATGCCGATTACAACACTGATTCTTTAGTGATCACATTGAGTCTTTACGCTACCAGCATCCTCACATCTACCAGGATCAGTTCAAACATTGAACTCCAGAAAATCATATGCAGCTGATTGGCACATGTACTCTGAAATTATAAACATTCAAAACTAATCTGTATGATGTCATGTTCTTTGATTGTCTTTGGACAACCACGTCTCAATTACTGGACCTGGATTCGAAGAACACCAATCACTTCAGAAAACACAGTGAAAGATACACCATGGATTGCACCTCGGCGATGATACCATCATAACAAAACTAAGAAAACATGAAATGTAGAACAACTAGAGAATCGAAGAAGAATGAAAGCAATGAATTGAGAGAGAGTTTGTATTTCTGAAGAAAATGATACACTTGAATGAATGAATCTAACACCAACATATGAGCTTATATAGCTTATCTGTGCTAACTAACTTTAACAACCAATTCTAACAAGCTGGATTAGTTACAACAGTACCAACAAACTAAATGACAAGTCATCAATCCTTAACTGTAAATTTGCCATGTCATTAGTTGATTGCTAAGTCATCAGTACAGTCAATATTTTTATGTTAGTTTTATTATATTTAATTTTATCTAAATGAGATTCTTTGTCAACCATAACAATCGTTCATCTACAACTAGTCAATTTAATGTCATCCTATCTCTCCTTGTGCTTTGTCTCGTCATTATTTGTTGATTAGATGCCATTGAGATGAAGGAATTTATTCTAATATGAACGACGTTGGCAAAACCATTATTCCAGACACCAATGTATTAAACAATCATTATGGTTCAAGACCATTAAAACTATGAAAGCCCCCTTCCTTTGCCACAAACAAAGCCACTAGATGCGCTATTCATGCTCTCTCTCTCTCTCTCTCTCTCTCTCTCTCTCTCTCTCTCTATTTATTGGCTTAATAGTAGCCATGGTATTTGAATTTTACTCCTAATTTAATTTTAGTCTTTAAACTCTCATATTAGTTTTTTTAATCTTGAACTTAACAATGTGTTATACCATTGATTTTTTTCACTAACCTCCGTCTATTTTCCAATTAAATTTAGGGATATATTACAAATTTCATCGCACATCTGACACACCCCGATCGAAGTCGAGACATCACGTAAGGGTGACGTAGCCAAGTGCGCAATATAAGTGTATACGATAATAAGAAAAGGTGAATTAATAAAAACCAACTAAAACTTAGCTATACTAAAGATAATACCAAGTGTGTGCAAGTAACTCAGTCAAGCTACAAACTTATTTATGGAAATGTCAGAACCACCCGGAAGTCCTCGTAAGCCACCAAAGATGATCAGCTCCCTAGAACCTAGAGGGGCACAAAATAGAAGGGTGAGTGGGCAAAAACAAAGCGTTTGAAAATACATTTATCTTTTCTAAACATAGTAACCCCTCACTGTAAAACCTGTATAGTTTCCATAAAATAATACTACATATAAATAAAACAACGCACAAGAGCAGTGAAACCCAAAATATAACGTGTCATAACGTTTAAATCATGCAAGCCAAGTGTAGAATCAATGTAAAATAACATGTCAGTTGGAGTCACCTAATATGACCTGTACGACTCGAACTATAGCTCATCAACCTAGGCTAGCACACGAGTCGGAGTCACCTGATGTGACCAGTACGACAGGCCAGGTATAAATATATACACTCAAGTGCTACGATCACGTGAAGGCTGTGTGATATATACACTCAAGGTCTGTACGACAGGCTGGCACTAGACTTGGATCCAAGGTGAATGTGCGATACGGGATGTGAATGATCACGTGAAGGCTGGCCCTAATCGCCGAGCAGGAGCACTAATACCGAGTGTAGCCATAATGAGCTCTAAATAAATATATGCATACAAATACAACACAACCCATTCAATCGCATAATACTCACCTGAATCTCCGCAGCATCAAACAATATAATTCTCATTTTATAACAATGCAATACTCAAAATGCAACTCATTTATGACATGGCATTCAAGGCATAACTCATATATATATAGAAAGAAAAATGCCCACTCACTGATAAGTAGCAGGATCGTAGCCCCTAGCTTCACTTGTCCACGCTCGTCCTCAAGGTACGTCTCACCTATATGCGAAATAACTAATTTTACATTAATTTTAAAGCACATACACAAACCTTAGGAATAACTTCTCATACGCTGCTCAAATGAGGTGTTTGAATATACCAAAATGATCTACTTGACAACACGAACACCCCCATATTTTTAGAAAATTTTTTGGATGTCACACGAGCCCTTGTGCGCCGGCCAAGCGCATGCACGTGCCTGGCACATTGACGAAATCCCTAATGGCGTTAAAGAATATTCCGTTAAATCCTAATAGAGTTACCTGACGTCATCAGTATATTCCGTTAAAGTTGATGGAATATTCCCTTCCTTCTCTGGTGGCTTCACCGGAGCTGCCACCAGCCACCATCTGTTACGCCGAAAACTGGAGAAATTTCAAACTTCAATATCTTTGTTATTTCTCCACCAAAATTCATAAATTTTATATGAATTTGAAACCCTCGAATAATAGAACATAACCTTACCTGTTAAGGTCCTAAAATCAACAGGAAAAGATCAGAATAAAGCTTGGAAAATCCGTCTAAACTTGCAACTTCGCGAACCCGAGTGTTTCAACATTCAAACCACTCCAAAATTGTTCCAAAATACTAGGGAAGTTAGATGAGTACCTTCTTAAGTCTCAAAACCAGATAAATCCTTCGCGATCACGTCGGAGGAAATTGGACC